TGGATTTTGATATATATATAGGATAAATATTAAATATTTATATAATCCAGATACAGATGACATCAAAACATGGTTCGACAAAGCAATGCCAGAGAGTGAAGCAAAGACTATTAAAAGTATAGATCCAGACAGAGCCTCTGGAGGCACCTTGGGCTGTTGAATGAAGAGGTGCAGTCACAGCCTTTGGAAAGCCGTAAGACATTACTGGAAGATGATGCCAAGATTTCTGCTATCTTGAAATAAGCTAAAAACTGTTTCTGTGTTGAGAAAGTTACAATGGTATTTATTTTCTTATTTTTATGAAGCTTTTATTTTCACATTACTTTACAATCCACAAAATCAATGTTTTGTACATGTACACACACTTTGTAACATTCATCACTTTGAATGCTACCAGAATAACCCTTCCTTACAGCTGAAGCTTCACAGATGCCAGAGTTGTTAATACTTGGCTCTCGTACCTCCTACCAACTAGCCAGGAGTTAAGCAAAGCATAGCCAATAAGCCTGCACCCCTGGATTTGTGCTCTGTCAGAATTCCTTGCCAGGATTCCCCTCTCCTTTCCAAATAAAGCATTACATACTTCCTCATACATAGAAGCAAGCAAACAAAAATGAAGGAAAGTAAAGGTAGCACTCAGTTTTACCACAGATTTTGTTTGGTTGTAAATGAAAACTGCTGTGGCAGTACTGAGCAACAGGAGCTGTGGATTTCTTTCAAGCATTTACCTTTACCACCATCAAACTTGGGTATTATTTTATAAAACATAATTGATTCTTCCAGACATTTCTTCTTAGATTATTTAAAGTTCTTACATATCTGACTTCATTTTCTAAACCTCTGAGAGCAAAACCAAATTCACACGGCCATTTTTAAGATACACACGCAAGTTCTAGTTTCTTGTAATTGTTATCTACACAAATTACTAGATCAAGCTTAATTTTTATTTAAATCCCTACTGATGAAAGCATTTCTACTCCTAGACATGCCTCACAAAACCAAGCTCACTACTAAGTGCAACATACAGGACAGATTTTTACTTCAATATACAGATGCAAACACACCATTTCCAGCAGTACTTTATATACTTCGACAAGTTTTTATTATCTCACAAGTCATATGCATAACATTTCACCACCTAGCTTTCCTACACACCTTCTTTAACACAGCATCCTTTTTTGGTCGGATTTTTGGTCACAGTGTTTTAAAAAGCAAAGACTCTTTACTGTGTTGTAATCGAGTGTCATTTAATAGAAGTCATTCTTGGTTGGATGTTTTGAGTGAAGCGCAGACCGTGTGACGCAGACCTGAGCCTGACAGCAATACTTTACAATCAAAGTCCAAGGTAAGGGCTGCAGTGCTGATCCAACTAATTCATGCCTGGCTGGCCATGGCCTCCATCCTCAGAAGCTTTCCTTAAAGATGGGGGTTTAAAGGACACTATAAGAGGCCTTTTAAATTTTTTTATTGTCAATAACAGAGCTCAAAGCTCCAGAAAAGTAACGCCTAGTGACTTTTCACAAGGCAAGTAACTCTTCTTCGATTCACTCTTTATACTTTCTGCTACATTATTTTTCTCTCATAAAACCAACTTTATCAGTGAAATCAAGGTTGTGCACAGTAGTGAGGACACCAGAAAGGTTTCTTACAGCTGTAAGAAAGCCCACAAGATTTCAAAGGGAAAACAACCCTGAGCCTTACTTCTGTCCTGCCCATAGCTGCCTGCTGCCCTTGTTATGCCTGCATCTGGCTACCGAGATCATTCTATTTGTTAATACCAAATTAGCAGTTAGTTTATCTGTTACTTGGTTCCAAATTCCAAGCATCTAAGGTCTCTGCGGTTTCTTTCTCCAGCCCTGCAGCACCCTTCAGAAAGCCTCCGGGAGCTGCATTTTGTCTGACCGTTGTCCGAATTAGCCCACGGTGACGATTTCCTCGGCCTGCCACGGCACTGGGGCAGTTTCGGAGGGTCCCACAGGACTGGATTTCCCTCCGGGACATGTTTTTTTTCTGCTAACACTTGGGAATCAGTCCCGGCGCAGGGCCGCGTTTGCAGGGTACGGAGCCCCCTCTGCCCGATGCTCGTCCCTCGGCAGGGCTCTGGGCAGGGACGTCCCGGACGACCCCGAGGGCGCTCCCCCCCCCGGGGGGGCAACCGGGGGCTGTCGGATCCCCGATCCGTCCCCAGCAGCTCCCGCCCCGCGCCGGGACTGGCCGGCGG